ATAGATTTTAGACGCGGGGGCATTGTTAAGAAAAGTGAAAACTGGGCTTTTGGAGGGACACAGATTAATATAGTCAGTTACTACAAATACCTTGGTTAATTGATCTCCAGTAGAAATTCATAATCAATGGCTGTAAATACATTAGCAAGACAAGCACAAAAAGCGATGGGGGCAATTTTTCGCATGATACATAATAGTGGGAGTCTTCCATATAATGAATATTTTAAATTATTTGATGGTATGATTTTACCAATTTTGAGTTACGGATCAGAGATATGGGGACATAATAGGTATCAGGCCATCATTGTAACCATATAGCCACTACTGCCCTTATTGTCACTTTAGTCATTATCACTGCGATCCTCACCACCACAAATCAAGTAAAAGCTCACTTTCAGTTCTTCTATGACTGGTGGAACACACCATTTTGTTGATGACTCTTCTAGCTGTTGAGTATACACCTGAAAACAGCAAAAATAAAACAAAATAGTAAACAATGCAATACTATATATCTAAACCTTTTGCATGGAAAAAACTGTCTAAAATGTAAGTGGGAACAATCCTGACCAAATGAACAAAAACATTAAAGTTACATTAAAAAAAAATATTTAAAATCATGTTTATCAAACAATACTACTGTATTAGTCTGAATGTCCCTCATTGAATAATCTAACATTATTTGTATAAAGGTACATGTACTGCATTAATCCCAATGCACCTTATAAAACTCTTGTTTTAGAAGCTATTAGCATGGATTGTATAAAAGTTCCTAAATAATACTACAGCAACATATCTAAGCAAAAGAAAAATACTAGCCATTATGTTCCTTGATTAATACTACATGTACTGCATTAATCTCAATGCACCTTATAAAACTCTTGTTTTAGAAGCTATTAGCATGGATTGTATAAAAGTTCCTAAATAATACTACAGCAACATATCTAAGCAAAAGAAAAATACTAGCCATTATGTTCCTTGATTAATACTACATGTACTGCATTAATCTCAATGCACCTTATAAAACTCTTTTTTAGAAGCAATTAGCATGGATTGTATAAAAGTTCCTAAATAATACTACAGCAACATATCTAAGCAAAAGAAAAATACTAGCCATTATGTTCCTCGATTAATACTACATGTACTGCATTAATCTCAATGCACCTTATAAAACTCTTGTTTTAGAAGCTATTAGTATGATAATAGTGCAGCAATTATATACCCTATATATAAAATATGTTTTTGAAATTCAGTTCCTCACCCCCTTGGTTAATATCGCCGATTTTTTGTCGCCAGAGTGATTTACATCGTCAATTTTGGTTCCCTGAGCATCTCTAATAAATAACCTATCTAACCGCTGGACTGAATTAATGATATTATCAAAAAATCATACAAGATTTGACAAAAATCCGTCGTTTTCGGCATCAACGTGTTTTCGCTCAGAAATGCAATGGCGATAAGACTCGATTTTCAAGGACGCAGGTTGTTTGGATCGGACTGTTTCTTTTGTTTCGAGTTCGTTGTGAGTCTAGAAACATAACAATGTTGTTTTTTAGTGAATATAGAATATATTCTGTGTCAATGAAGGATTTTGACATGCCAATCAGGCAATTTTAACAACTTTTTACTGGAGCTTCCCCTGTATAAATAGAGCAGACTCTCCAAAAATTGACACTGGTACTAGCCCAGAATGGACTTCCTGTTCAGCATGTCTTCGATTGTAGCAATGTTTATGCCACTGTATGAAAATATGCACACTCGTGAATTTGACAACATTCACTTGAGCATTGTAGGATAGTGGGAATAGAAGCAAATAGATGGAAATACCAGTTACATCACTCATGAAGATTGCTGATTTGATTGCTGGTCGGGGTAGCTGTATTTAGTGTTCATGCAATATGTCTACACTTGCAATTCTCAATTTCGATGTGTAAAATCATATCGCTGCTGTGGACGGTGACGGCTGACAGATTGTTTTGGTTCTGAGGCTCTCTTGGCATGGGCAACTGATTTTTAGGTTTCTTTTATATTCTGACGTTTACTTGGTCGTATTTTGTAAAGTAAAGTAAGTAAACAGGCTGGGACATACCGGTAGTCAACATGGGACTCTGAAGGCTCCGGAGAAAGCATCATCATACATCAAGCCAAAATAGTGAACAAATATTTTCGGAAATATTACTGACAGCGAAAGACGCCCATCGCGTATATACACAAAATTAAATACTCGCCAGATTTGAAAAAGGCAGGAAAATACTGCACTTGTCACTTTTTTTTATTTATACTCATAACAACATATGTTTACTAAGTGAAACTTAACAATTATCTTGAAAACTATACTTGGTTGAGATTCCAAACTGGTTAATACAATATCCAAGTTTGAAAAAAGGTAGATAAAAACTTTGTGATTTATTGTAACCACAAAAGAATATTTTGATGACGGAGTCAATAACAACAACAATAAGGACAGACATTTTCTCCTCATATACCTTGACCTTTATCTATGAGGTAATGAGTAAATATTTTCATATTCAAATGCTTATAATCTCAGTATCTCATGTTTTCTCTGGATAAATATTATTATATCAAATTTGAGAAACACACTGTGTTTTGTATTGTTCAATTGTGCTAAAAATGAACATACAGTACATTCACTATAATTTTAACCAGGGGTCTGAATATTTCCCCAGGGTCCTAGCTTTACTTGCCAAGGAGTCTATTTGGCTTGATCCTCTTATAATACATTATATTTCACATGTACTCTAATGTTTATTTCTTCCCAATCACTTTGAACAAAGCTGTCAATATGCTATTTTTTTTTGTTTAAAAAGAAATAATTTTGTGTCAGATGACAGTTCAGGGTGACTTTGAATGTCATAGTATCTCATGACTTTTTACTGGTACAAATGTAATGTGCAAATGGTAAGTGCTGACATACAGTGCATTTTGCCAATGAAACCAATACTACATTACAGGGATGTGTGACCATTTTCCTATCATAATGCATTGTGGAAATTTAATGAACTATCTCGGTGTCAACCAGGGCTCAGCCAAATACAAGCCTTTCCAGTCATTAACCATAATAATTATTCATGGAATTCACAATTTGATTCAAACTATTTGCATTAATAAAATATACATAATAGTGAAAATAAGGGGAAATTAGCAAGCCTCTGTTTTTTTTAATTTTGCGATTTTTAAACTGCTTTTGCTGAATTTTCTCTTTCATCAAGCTGACGGAATAAAAACATGGGAAAACCAATTTTGCTAGAGGGCATACCCAATACAGCCAGAATTTGAATAAGAAAACAGTTTCATACTTACTGCTTCAGCTGGGTAGACATGGTCCTGCATGAACAATTTCACCTTTTCTAGAGTTTCTTTACCCTTGGCTGAGATGACATTCGTATCTAAGACAGGCATGATATCATCCACTGAAGGCATTTTCAAGTATATGAAAATAAATTGATACAAAATGCGCACATCAATGGAAGAATCTATAATTAGAGAAATCACAAAATTACACATACTTTACAGCAATACGATAATGAAGGGGAGGAGAGGGCTAAATGATAACAACGGTATATATATTTCATTAAGAAAAGGGCTACAGTGACATTCAACACCGAAACTGTCTGATGGAACAAAAACATTTATTAAAAAAAAATTATGTTAAAAGTATTCTAAAAACAAAATCAAATGTCATGTTTCAAAAAACCTACACAACTCGAAAAAAAAAAAGAAATTGGCTAGACTGTTATTGGAAACACCAAATTTGTTTTACTATCACATTAAACAACAAGCCTTGCTGGTCTCTTCTATTTGGTGTACTGACACAGATTTATGGGCTTCTAGATGTCAAAGTTCAGAGGGATCAAAGGTCAGATAAAATTACCATTTTACTGTTCAATGAACGTGATGCACCCATTGATCAGATATACACTACAAATATGATTGGTTCATTAATTAAAAATACTTTATTTACATTCAGTTTATATCACATCACATTTAAATATATGTTTGCGTTGTGGAATATAAACAGACCACCATAAAGATTAAGTTGGCTACTATTTTATTGTAAATGTTCTTGTAAAATGTATATACCAGTAGATTTTAGCTATCGACAGTATGTATAACCATTTATTTTCACTGACATTTAAATTAACTGTGTTTTAATGTCACGAATTTGTCAAGGAAACAATGGGTTATATTTAAACAATAATGTACTCCCCGATGGCTCATAACAAACGAAAGCACACTTTGCACGACATAATGTGCGAGGCGTAGTACATTATTGTTATTATTTTGTTGCATCGGCAATTCCAGTAAATTTTCACGCGTTAAAACTAAGATAATATGGAAGAAACGATCGAAAACATTTGACAGAACCACGTCTACAATTATATGGGCCTTGATATCTGTATACTGTATATAACGTTGTCGCATTCACACAATGATTCCCATTCACACACACAAACACAATAAAGTGTGCAGTGGTCATTTCAACATAACACGTATACAAAAAAATAGACAAACTTGGAACTCCCTATCCTACATAATGTTAATTTTGCGATGATCGAGAGGACCAGTGATGTGCAGATGGATTGAAGCTCGTAAACCAGACAGCAATGGCCTGCTGTACTGCACCCCATCTTGCTTGCGAGCTGAAGCGTAAAATTCCCACAGCAAATCGGCGAACTCAACGACAGGAAGGTCTTCAAAATTGGTACTCCCAATTTAGTCTGCTGTGAAGTATTTTTTTCATTTCTCGCATTTTCGAGCACATTTAACTGGGATTCGTCAACATCGATAAAACATTTGTCTTTGGTGAGCTATGTTTATTTACCCATTGGACGTCAGTACCGGGTGTTTCTCGCGAAGTTGGGATTGGCCAGATGACAATTTGTGTTTGTCGTTATGACGGGAATGACATTTTTAATGTAAACTAAGAACAAATAATTATTTTTCATATAGTTATTCTTTTTCAGTTTTGATTTTAATCGTTTTCACCCCATAATTTCCCTTTATTATTAAATGCCTATCTTTTTATATGTTCCCCCCAAATCAAGCTGAAACCCTTTGTGTCCACAAAATTTGTCCCTCAAAATACAGGAAATAGAGTTTAAGAGGGACTAGATTTCAATTTTGATAAACACCCCCCCCCCCCCAGTAAGGTTGAGCCTTCGGCGCGAAGGATCGTGAGCAGATCTGAGCAGATAACGTGATAAGCTCCTGTGCCCCCATGCGTTGGCTTGCTAGTTATGACATAATTGACACTGCGATTTGGGCAGCAATTATATCTACGGTCGCAAGTAAAGGCTCTGTCAGTCATTAGTCTGCTTAATCGTAGTTTCGCAGCTCCAGGGTACTATTTTGAAGATCGGAGTACTTCGAATCCGGTCGTATGGGAAAACATTTTAAATTTGCAAACTCATCCTCGGGGTAGAACTTACCTCAAACGGCAACTTCTGTGGCAAAAATAACTAACTAACTAACTAAGTAGACAGACAGACGACAGACGCATGACCTATGTGTTCCGATAACAAAAAGTTCATCGAACGATGCAAACAGGGATCGAAGGAGTTAAAAGTCCGAGGACTTCGGAACACACGATATATAGTAAATAACCATATAATATAACCTTTGACCCAATTGTACAAAAGTACAACGTGTGAGGGCGCCCACTATTTTTACGGCTTACATAATTCAGGCCATTATTTTCATTATTAGGGTATTTGTAATTTGGGAAATCGGTAATTTGCAGAAAATCCAAGATAACTCTACTGCTTTGCATATATGGCTAAACTGTAACACACATATCTAATATATTTATAGACGTCTATGGTTTGTCATTTTGTTAAAAGTGTTATTTTAATGGATTAAACCACCATACCGTGTGTGTTACAGCTTGTACTAAATATGTGCATAAGTTGTTGAGTAGGTACAGTTTCCTGCCCGTCATTGGAGTGAGCAGCACTCATGACAATTATGTCTCCAAAAAAGCTTATTCACTCCTTGGGTTTCATATTCGTGGGAATTTTTATCACAGTGATGTATTTTCAAATTGTCGTTCATCGTCCTGCTTCATTCACGAGAAGGTAAGACGTAGCTGTAGACAAATGCGTAAACATTTAGTAATTCAAACAGTAGGATGTTGTTGCACAATCGAACTCAATAGAAAATGATTTTGTCACGAGGTGATCTTTCAGTATTTCATTTCTACTAAACACTTGAAACTGCTTTGCTGAATTAATTTATATTATGCTTTGAGCATGGTTCATATAGTCTAATAAGTTCAATGTTTATGCTAGAACATTATTCACTGATTTTCAGTCAGTCAGATAGTTGGTTTTGTATCGACCACTCGTTTTAACGCACATGTAAACTGTAGATTTCACGCTCTCTTTTGTTTGATCTAAAATGATGTCTCCCGTTATGATGTGAATGCATTCAAATAGTCTATTCTTATTCTGGGCATACGTTAGCCCCTGTTCCATTTATGGATAAGAGTGATGTTCTAATATCGTGTCTACAACACGATGAAAGTGAAAAAAAAACATTGCATGAGTACAATATAAAAAAACGACTCAATATGATGGTTGCGACGTGTTTTTTAAATATGTACGGTGATCTTACAATGACAGTATTCTATGGTGTGCCATTAGGGCCAAAATTGAAAAACACCAATAAATAAAAGAATAAATCAAAGAATAGGTAAATAAATCAAAGAATAAATCAAAGAATAGATAAATAAATGAAAGAATAAATCAAAGAATAAAACAATAAATAAAAAAATAAATTGAAAATTAGAACAAGAAATAAAAGATTAAATTGAAGAATAGAACGATAAATTAAAAAATAGAAGAATAAATAAAATAATCAAACAAAAAATAAAAGAATAGAAAAATAAATAAAACAATAAACGAAAGAATAGAAAATTAAATGAATAAATAAAAGAATAGAAAAATAGAATCAGCTTATTTAAATAAGTG